TCTTCAAAAGAACAGCAGAAGTAACTGGCAGGTAGTTCTTAAACATGCAGATATTGTTAAATATATATTTCACCTTGACCTCGATAGCTATCTCTAGAAACTGAAACCGGAATAGAAGCTTCCATCCACAATCCATCTCTTGGCAGCCAAACCCACACAAGAAATTTAACACAAATACAGCCAAATTCAGTGCTTGGGCTGTCATTTGGAAATCTTCTTTGGGCCACACTAAAGAGTGTTGTTGTTGTTGTTCAGTTGCTAAGTCATGTCCAACTCTTTGTGACCCCATAGACTGCAGCACACCAGGCTTCCTTGTCTTTCACTCTCTCCCGAAGTTTGCCAGATTTATGTCCATTGAGTCAGGGATGCTATCTAACCATGTTATCTTCTGTTGCCCTCTTCTCCTTCTGCCTTCAATCTTTCCCAACATCAGAGTCTTTTCCAAGGAGTAGGCTCTTTGCATCAGGTGGCCAAAGTATTGGAGCTTCAGCTTTAGCATCAGTCCTTCCAATGAATCTGCAAGGTTTGTTTCCTTTAGGATTGACTGGTTTGATCTCCTTGCAGTCTGAGGGACTCTCAAGAGTCTTCTCCAGCACCACAACTTGAAGGCATCAGCTTTGGTGCTAAGCTTTCTTTATGGAAGAATCTGCCTGCAATGCAGGAGACCTGGGTTCAATCCCTGGAAGAAGGGAATGATTACCCGTTCCAGTATTCTTACCTGGAGAATTCCATGGACAATGAGCCTGGCAGGCTCATGGGGTTGAAAAGAGTCAAACATGACTGAACAAGTAACACTATACTAAGGACACTATAGAAAGGAGTAAAGTGGTTCAATTATTCTAAAATGTAAAGAAAAACTGTACTGGCTTTCATAATCTTGCAGTCAAGCTAGTATTTCATTAATATTTTTACACAAGAAAGTCATCTTCATCTGCATTCACTTTTAGTGGGGTTGGGAGTAGAAGAAATAATACAAGAGGGAACAGTTTGACTTTTGATGATGGAAATATTTTTTGTCAAGATTCTTCAGAGAACTCTTATATCATTCCCTGTTCCAGTGTTTTTTATTTTATTAACTGTAATAAAACACATTAGGTCACACTGTACTAGCCCTTTTCATGAGTGTCTCAAAGCAAGGCAGTGCTTAATTTAGAGCCCAATCATGTTAGGTCCAGGGAGGTGCCTGCTGGGTCCAGGCAGGAACCAAGCAATCTGCCCCAATCTGCCCAATAATTTACAACATGAAGAGAAGTTTTGTGTATTCCTTTGAAAACAGGATTACCCCTGCTGAGCGGAGCTCCTGCTGACAGAGAAGAGGCAATGCAGGTGTTGGAAACTTGGATGGAAAGAACTCAGGAAGGGAGGAGACCATCCAGCTTCCCCCAGGATGAGAAGCTGTTCTCTGCCCCGGGGCTGGGCAGGGCCATCAGAGTGTAAAGGGCACAAATCCACTGGGCAGTGGAAGACCCGTGCCTAGGAACAGAGGCGGCGCCATGCGGAGGTGCCAAGGGGGGCTGCGGAGGCCTCCGCCAGGGTGATCCCTGGGGAACACAGACAGCTCTGACTAGCAAACTTGTTGCCCTCCTGCCCTTCCTAGTCACTCCCCTCTCCACTGTCTCCATGTAGTAATTACTCCTTTACTGAGGCCCTGTTCCAGGCCAGAAACACAGCTACAGGCTGGGGCCGAGGCAATAAAAACAGAGTAGCTTCCCTGGTGGCTCAGTGGTAAAGAATCTGCCCGCTGATGCAGGAGATGCAGATCTGATCCCTGGGTTAGGAAGATCCCCTGGAGAAAGAAATGGCAGCATTCTTGCCTGGGAAATTCCATGGACAGAGGAGCCTGGTGGGTTATAGTCCATGGGGTTGCAAAAGAGCTGGACACGATTTAGCAACTAAATAGCAAGTTTTCAGGAATCCTGCAGTCCTTTCTGAGGAGCTGAGTTCTAAAGCAATGAACTGAGTGTTCCTCTTTAGGGCACAGAGTCTGTGTTAAGGGAGACGAGGTTTGGGGCCCAGGAGTAGGAGACTTGAGGGAGACCGTTGCCATCGGGGTATGATAAAGTATCTTCACCTTCTCTCCTCTCATCCCCTATGCCAGTGGTCAGATGTTGCCAGGAACCAGGGTGTCAGATTAATCTGAGGAAGAACTTTCTGACTCGGAGCTGTCCAAAGAGAAAATGAACTGTATTGAGGGGTGGAGAGCTCCCAGCCACTGGATTTGTTGAAGAGTCTGGATAGCTAACTGGTGGATTGACAAGGTCCTTCTAGACCTAGTAGTCTGTGAATCCACAGGGGGATGGTCCACTGGAGGAGGTGGCAACTCTAGATGAACTAGTCTGCTGCTCTGACCTGTCATGAGGATAATGAGAAGGCCTGATCAAGGAAAGGGTGATGGGCTGCTATACTTAAGATGGATAACCAACAAAGACCTATTGTATAGCACATGGAACTGTGCTCAGTGATGTGCCAGCCTGGATGGAAGGGGTTTTGGGGGAGAATGGATACATGTATATGTATGGTTGAGTCCCCTTGCTGTTCACCTGAAACTACCACAATATTGTTAATTGACTATACCCCGATACAAAATGAAAGTTTAAAGTTTTTTTTTAAAAAGGCAAAGGGTGACGGGCAAAAGTCTGGTGATGAGGGAGCTGGGGACGAAATATAGAAGCAGAACAGGAGGAGTATATACAGCTGCCATAACAAGGTACCACATACTGGGTTGGTTTTAAACAACAGAAATTTAATATATCACAGTCTGGAGACTAAAAGCCCTAAATCAAGGTGTCAGCAGGGCTGGTTCCTTCTGTGAACTCTAAAGGAGAATTTTCTCCATGCTTCTGCTAGCTTGGGAAGCCCCAGGTGGCCCTAGGCTTGTAGATGCATCACTCCAGTCCTCTGTCTTCACAAGGCTTTCTGCCTATAAGGACACCAGACACACTGGATTAGGGGCCCACCCTACTTCAGTACAACCGCATATTAACTAGTCACATCTGCAGTGACTGTATTTCCAAATAAGTTTAGATTCTGAAGTACTGGAGGTTAGGATTTCAATATAACATATTTTTGAAGTGAAGTGTTAGTCACTTAGTCGTGTCCAACTCTTTATGATCCCATGGACTGGTGGTGGTTTAGTTGCTAAGTTGTGTCTGACTCTTGCAATCCCATGGACTATAGCCTGTCAGGCTCCTCTGTCCATGGGATTCTCTAGGCGAGAATACTGGAGTGGGTTGCCATTTCCTTCTCCAGGGGATCTTCCCAACCCAGGAATCAAACCTGGGTCTCCTGCATTGCAGGCAGATGATTTACCAACTGAGCTGTGAGGGAAGCCCATGGAGTAGAGCCTGGCAGACTTCTTTGTCCATGGAATTCTCAAGCAAGAATACTGGAGTGGATAGCGTTTCCCTTCTCGAGGAAATTGTCCTGACCCTGGGATCAAACCTGGGCCTCCCGCATTGCAGGCAGATTCTTTACTGTCTGAGCCCTAACATTTTTAGGGTGACATAATTTAACCCGTAACAGGCGGCAACTTGCTTAACCTGAGCCCTCTGCCTTTCCCACCTGTACAACTCTAGTGCTGGCGCTGCAAGGAGGAGCCTGTGTAGCTGGAGTGGATAACACCCACTCCGCCGGCCTGAGCTTGACTTTAGATACACCCGAGTCCTAAGAGTGTCCCCAGGGCTTTAAACTCCTGCCTTTCCCTAGAACCCACTTCTCACAGCAGCCACAGCACCCACAACCAGGACCTACATGTATCCTGGCCCATTACAGCGCTGAGTTCTCTTTTCCTCTCTCATCCAACTCATCCCTGGTATCTTTCACTCACACCCAGGCAGAGATAAGGTGGGGAGACTGTGTGTGGGAGGGTTTTTTTTTTTTTTTTTTATTTCTCTTTTGAGACTCATCTTACAAAGACCGAGGCAGTCCCAGAATTTTTTGGCCTATTTCACCCAGTGTTGGATGGCTCCTTACACTGAGTTCCCAAGATTTGGGGGGGAAACAGATGCTAAACCTCCATTCTAGGAACTTCTGCCAGCGATCCCTTCCATGGGACTACCAACACAGAGGCAGAATGTGGTAAAGTGGAGAAATATCAGACCAGAAGCATAAGTCTGAATGAAGTTTTATGACCACACACTACAGATGGGTCTTGTGATAGCAGTGGTTAGGTCATTTCTCCTCTCTAGCCTTCAGCTTTTCCAGTGGTAAAAAATGTTAGACTATTTCAATGTTGATGTTCTATGACTTCATAAAAGTCAATATTCTATGATCCCACAATAGGTCTCTAAGGACCATTCCAATGCTGACATTTCATGATTTTATAATGGAGAGTTAAGCTTTTTATGGTTGTTAAATGGAAGGAAAGAAGAGACACACTGCATTTCTCTGAAAGTCAGTTAATGTCTTTGGGGAATGATGTCACCTTTGAGCCTCAATTTTCAGATCTATAAAAAATACAGAACTAATAAGAACCTCATGAAGTGGTGGGAGCGACGGTGCTTGGAGAGATTTACAATTCGGAACAGAGTCAAACTGGAAACCTCTCCTGAGGTTCTGTCAAACAGCTCTCAGAGCCCCAGCCGCGGTTGGCGCTAACTCACCGAGAGGGCTCGGGAGGGGGCGGGGTGAGGAGGCTGGCATTGTTCTTGCCCCGCCCCCGCCCCGCCCTAGATATCGCGAGAGGGCGGGCCCGCTTGGCATTAGCGTCGGCGTCGTTCCGGCGCTAGGCCGGCTTCTCTCCGCGGGCCACGGTTAGAGTGCCGGTGGCCAAGGGCTCGCGGAGGGCCGCCAGCCACGCGGCGTCGGCTAGACCTGAGAGCGTCCGAGTCGTTGTGTCGTGACAGCAACTCTGGTGGCTGTTTCCGCGACAGCAGGTGCGGCCGCTTCAGCCCCAGGCGGGCTCGGCGGCTGCCTGGCGAGTTTCTACTCGCGCCCAGCCCTTTCCTTCCTGAACTCGGCGCCAAGCAGCGACGCTGAGCCGACCGCCGGAGCAGCAGGCAATGGCGGCCTCGACGGCCTCGCACCGGCCCATCAAGGGGATCCTGAAGAACAAGAGCTCTACGACTTCCTCTGTGGTGTCCTCGGCCGAACAGCCCGGCAAGAGTGTCGACGAAGAGCTGAGGTGAGAGCCGAGAGGGGCGGCCGCTCGCCCACCGGGTCAGCCTGGGAAGCCCCACCTTTCCCCCGTGCCGTTGCAGACCCCCAGCCGGACCAACCCCAGTTCCCGAACCCGAGCGCTGCCGGCGGGCGGGGCGGTTGCGTAGTTGCGGCCCCTGCGCGGCTCAGGTCTCCCTCCGCCGGCCAGGCTTAGGGGTGGAGTGATTATAAAGAAGGCAGGAGCTATGACGTTTATTGTGTGTTTGTGTGTGTGTATTTAACATATATACATATATAATAATTTTAAAACATACATCAGGATCTTTACGCTTTTGGAGATTGGGAATATTAAAGAATCAAATTGAAGTTGTAAAGCTTCACCTGTTAAGCTTACTTCACTTCGTATCCTAGTGTCTAAAATTCAGTAATTAAAGTGTATTTTCCTGCATTGGAAATCCTTTAAGATGCAGTCGTAGACTAATAAGAGACTCCTCCGAAAAAGAGATTTCTCCATTTTTCTAATTGCCCTTCTTCCACGGTCATTCCTTTTTAGGTGAACATTATCGAAAGAAAAGCGTCGTGCCCCATTGACTCCCTTGGGTCCTGGTTTGTCATTATCTCTGCATTAAAAGAAACAGACATTTCCCCAGTCTGATCTGTGTTTAATGGAAAACTACTTATTGCTAATTATTTTTGAATCTGCAACAAGAATTTGAGCGCTTTCTACTCTTTGTTCCTCTTGAAAGATATATTTAAGCTCAGAACAGTTCAGAAAGTACCAAGTTAAAATGATGCCATGATAATTTAGTTGCTTTTGCATACTCGCAAATACATATGTGAAAAGATGTTGACCTATAGTATTGTATGTGATAGTAAATAATTGGTAACACCCCAAGGTCCATTAAGAAGGACTAGTGAAATATTAATTATAGTACATTAGTATAATGGGAAAATAGACCAGCCTTTTAGAAGAATGAAATGGATGTTAATGGCTCAGAGAAAGATACCCAAGGTGCAGTCCTCAATAGAAAATAAAAGGTGGAAAACTGGTAATATATATTGTAAAATAAAACACTAGGTTAGAAGTCATAGAGGGGCTAGCATACAAGGACTCTTAACATACTGGAAATAAGGCTTAAGAAAGTTGTTGTAATCTGTGAAGTCATAAAGCTAAAATTAGTATGTTCCCGAAAACTTTGAATATTGGAACTAGGGCACACCTGTTTAAAAAAATGATTTTAGAGCTATAAAAGGAACTACAGTTTGGTGATGGTGAATTTATGGGGATTTGTGTTGTCTTGAGGAAAACATGAAGTAAGATCATAGCTTAGAATCATGGCCTTTGGGGGTTGAAGACCTTAATTTGTCTAGCAACTCTCCTACTCCTGGATGTTTGACCCTTACATTCTCCAGCATGCAGTTTTCCAACCTCTCTTTGGGGTAAGCTGCTTCAGATTGGAGGTTGTAATGGGATTAAAAAAAAAAAACAGAATCTTACCAGACATAGCTGTAACAGGAAGACTAAGATAGTCTAAAATCCAAACTATGGAAGGCTCTTATATGACTTCAGGGTATTCGGCGGCAGCACTGTGGTTCTCAGTGGCATTTAAGTTATTTAGTTATTCTCCAGCGTGAGCTGCTTTCTGTTTGGCTACCAAGTAGCTACTTACATTTCTTCTGTCTTTCCCTACTTCTGTTTATTCTCAACCTTAGTCTGCTGTAATTTCTGGTGGCCCCACTCTGTGTATTGGCGTCTTGATTAGGGTTTACCTTCCAAGTCCTGCCTGGAAAGCCACTATACTAGACTGATTTACTTGCCCAGGGCTGCTCCTTCTCTAGGAGCTGCTAACAGGGCAGATTCATTTAAGAGTGGCCTTTTGCAGGGTGGTTGACTTTGACTTGTCTAAATTAGAAGGTTATAGTCCTATCTTCAAAGGGAGCTGCCAAGCCCTAATTGATTGAGGTTTATGATGTTTGGTTCTAAGTAGTAAAAGGGATGGGTTTTTTCATGGTAAGTGTTGTATGACTATAAAAGAAATAAAGTAATTCTTTTGGTAGTACAACGTTACTACCAATGTTAGTACAATGTTATTTATGTCCCAGTTCATACAACCAATATTAGTGACTTTATGAGACTCTCTTTGAATGCGAACAATGAAAGTATAGTTGAACATACTTGAAACAAGCTTTTTGTAATGTTTAACTTTAATGACAACGAGTATTTTTCCTTTTGTTTATAAAGGACTGAAATAAATAGCTCTTTCAATTACAATGCACTTAAACTTCAGAAACTAAAAAAATATAATGTTATGGGCTAGCTTTAAATGTTGGAACCAGAGTTTAAGGCAAAATAATCTCATGTTAATTAATGTGAAAATGACCAGGGATTTAAGTCAATTCTCAGTGTTCTGAGTAATTACGTTTTGTAAAGTCACCACAGTGCTGGATTAGTTCATGCTGAACTGTTACTCCTAGAAGAAATATAAAAATAGGTTACTGTAAGCTGGTGCTCACAGCATTTTCATCACCTTTAAAAAATTTGTTTAAAGACTCCTAATTTAATATATATTGATTCATTAACATTGAACACATGGCCAACAGCACTCTAACTCATACCTGAATGAAGAAGTTTTTCTAACACATACTTTCTCCATAAAGCACTTAACAGCTTTCTTGGGCTTAGGAGCACTAGATAGCAGTGGAGCACTAGATAGCAGTTAAGCACTATCCTTGGGAGCCATTTTGAACAGCCAGTTCACCAAAAAAGCAAAAAACATGGCACTAAATAGACTGTAACAAGACACATTTACAGTAAGAGAGCTGAAACAAGGTTTAATCTTAGCTGGGAACATGTGCATGTTCAGGCTACTCAGATTTTTCCCACTCTCTGCATGTGTGAGAGAGAAAGCTGCTAAAGTATCGATTTTGAAGTTACAGGTAAATTTTAGCAAGTAGGCAGATTTCCAAATACAAAATCCATGAATAACCATACCTTTTATTGGTGCCTTTATCATGTGAAATACAGCGGTGGTTTCCCTTTTCTGCACAAACCATTCCCCCACCCCATCAATTGTAAGAGGGTATAACTTAACAGAACGTTTTATGTAACACAAAGAGATGTTACTAAGGGGTTTTTAAGTCATAATTGAGATGTGCTATTCCAGTGGTCTCTAAACTTTTTGATTGTGCATCATTTATTAGGAAAAAATGAAATATGTTTCAAATATGTTTGTTTACAATTAGATAATATCTCAAGTTTCAGAGTATACTTAAAGTGAGGTTTATATACTGCCATATATTTCAGATAGTCTTCAGGACTCAATACAGTCCTTGTCAAACCATCTTTTTTTTAATATCACAGTGCTGTTATTTTCTTATTCTTTATACTTTGCATTAGTACTGTTATCTTCAATGAGTAGTTATTTCAGGTACCCCTTTCTGAGGGTTAGTTCAATTAAAACTGGATGGAATCTGTAAATCCACATAAAATTAGGCATAGATAATCTCAGTACACTGTAGCACACTGCTAGAACACCACTGTCATCGCCATTATTGTGGAATTCTCATTCTTTCTGGATACTTTGAATATAGTAAACAACCTGTGAATGTCAGACATAACAGTTATAGTGAGTAAGTACATGTACTTCATGAAAACAAGACATCATTGATTTTAAGATGTACTATGATTTTATGTCACAGCAAGAAAAAAAAATGCTGCCAGTTACAAGATGTCATCCATTTTAAGATATATTTTGTTTTCAGAAATATTAAAGTGAGAAAAATGTGCATTTGGGATTGTTGAAAATATAATGTTAAGTGTTACTAAATTCTGTCTTATTAGAAGTGTTTAAGGTTACTGATTATTAATGAGGCCAGATTGCCTGGGTTCAGATCTTGTTTACTACTTACTAGGTCTGTAACTTAAACAGTGAGTTATTCATTATAGTCCTGCCTAGTTTAATTATTAAATGAGTTACTAAATGTAAAATGTTTAACACAGTACTTCAAATGTTGGTCTTATTCTATAGGAACCTAATTTTCCATACTTAAGGGATTGTGTACACAGCATGCTTTGGATTCACTGTGTTTAATTCAGATTCTGTAATAGTCTTAGGTAATGTAGGCAAATTCTGCTTGGAAAGATTGTGCTTAATTTCCTTTAACATAATTTTATGTAATCATACTTCAACTTTCTCATTTTCTGCCTATAAAGGGATATCGAATATGGTCAAAGGCTCACTGACTGAAGTTTTCAAAAAATGACCTTTTATTTACTAATTGCTTTTATTGTTAAGTCTTTAATTGTTCAGCCTTAAAGTATTGTACTTTGTCAACCTACAGAAGTTGAATCTTCATTTAAGAAAGAACCATTTTTTGAAATGTGGGCTTAAAGGTTAACACATTGAAGCAAAATCCTGCTTCCAAACTCGGATAAAAATTAGAAACTCACAAGCAACAAGAAGTATGTCGGTCTTGGAGATAGCATCATGTGAGTTATCAAAGTGAAAGTGACAAGTGGTGACTTTTTCTGGTACAGACTTAGGCTGCAGGGAAACCAATCAAGAGGGAGCAACTGAAAGCAGCAGGTTTTCAGTGTAAGTGATTGTGCCCCTACTTTTTCTAAGTGGCATTAATGGCCCAGTGCAGGTCATAGGAATGGTTGTGGTAGTATTGGGATTAAACTCAAATTCACTCCCTGGGTTTTGTTGCTCAACTGATGTTAATTCTACCAAAATTTAAGAGTTGCCAATTCCGGGATTCTGGTATTCTTTGTCACAGTTTCTCTGACTTCATTACTTTCCTCCTAAGAATTTCTAACGTTCTTTGGAGTCTATTGTTTTATGCCCTTATTTAAATTCATGGTTTTGCAAGATACTATTTCTCTGGATCTTGACAGTGTAAGGATTTCCTTTTCTCTTAGTATTGTGTTGAAGAAGTAGACTAAAGCTTTGGATATATAAAACTTTAATTCTGTTTATAGTAGAAAGTAAATGGCAAGCAAGGTACAAAAAATTTGGGTTATATGACCTAACAAGGTGGTTCTTTATAATATCGTTTATACATTATATATACCTTTGAGTTATATATAATGTGTTTAAACCGTCTCATAAATTTGAGTGTGTTCTTTACATTTATGTAGCTATAAATAACTCAAAATTAATGAGAATGTTTCCGGCAGATAGGCAAAGGATGCAAACAGTTCACACAAGGAAAGTAAAATAAGCATTTTTTCCATTATTTATTAGATAATGAGCAGAGAAACAGACATAAAGCAGTGTTTAAATATCAATTTATACCTGCTCAGGTGGGCAAAATACCCAGATGCCCAATCCTGGCAAAGTTTTGGTAATTATTTTGGGACATTACAAACAGTGCTGTCTTAAAAAAGAAAAAAAGGCTATGTGGCAACATAGAGTGATCTGCAGAGCTCTTCAGTTTAACCCAGATATGCTTTTCCTAGCAAATTACCCTAAAAATATCACTGAATAGAATATGCACAAACATTTCCACTTTAAGGAGGAAGACATTGGATTCACTCTAAACATTTAACATTAGGAGAATAGTTTATTATATAATATTATGCATGTAATACTAAAAAGGTAAAGACTAGAAAATACAAGCAGCTTATTATGATAAAATACATATACTGATGTAGGAGCTATTTTTATGTATACTGTATGTACTGTTCTGTCTATATATTTTTGTATACTGTGATAGCTTGGGTATTTTTTCTTATGTTATATGGAGTGGAAAGAATATACAGAAATCAAAATTGTTAGTGGGTTAAGGTGCTAAAGTTATGCATATTAAATTTTATCCTTAATTTTAGGAAAATATTTCTTATATCCTACAATTCTTTTGTTCTATCATTTATCTTACAGAACAGATTTACAGCATTTGAGGGATACCTTTTTAACTGCAAAGGACCATATGCATTCTTTTAATGATAAAATTGTTTTTAATTAAATATTGCTAGCATTATTTATTTTTACTTTGCAATTAGGACACACTTAACAAAGTCATTTTGTATATGTTTATTTTTAAAATATTTTATTGTAATGTAGTATAGATACATCTCTCTCTGTTTCATTGACTACACTAAAGCCTTTGACTGTGTGGATCATGGCAAAGTGGAAAACTCTTAGAAAGATGGGAATACCAGACCATCTCACCTGTCTCCTGAGAAACCTGCAGGTTAAGAAGCAACAGTTAGAACCCTGTATGGAACAACTGATTAGTTCAAGATTGAGAAAGGAGTACAACAGGGGTGTCTGCTGTAACCTATACACTTGAGCACTTGATGAGAAATGCTGGGCTGGATGAGTTACAAGGTGGAATCAAGATAGGTGAGAGACACATCAACAAGCTCAGATACGTGGATGATACCACACTAATTGCAGAAAGTGAAGAGGAACTAAACAGCCTCTTGATGAGGGTGAAGGAGGAGAGTGAAAGAGCCAGTTTAAGACTAAATATTAAAAAAACTAAGATCATGGCACCCAGCCCCATTACTGCATGGCAAATAGAAGGGGAAAAGGTGGAAGTAGTGACAGGTTTCCTCTTCTTGGGCTCCAAAATCACTGCAGATGGTGACTGCAGCCATGGAATCAGAAGACGATTGCTTCTTGGCAAGAAAGTGATGACAAACCTAGACAGTGTTGAAAAGCAGATGGTTGTACAATAATATGAATGTACTTAATGCCACAGAATTATACACTTAAAAGTGGTTAAAATGGTGAATTTTGTGTTACGTATATTTTACCACAATAAAAATATGAAGGAAAAAAGTGCTTAGTCTTAAATGGGGACACTGTGGGCACTTTAGTGTAGAAAGCAAAAGAACGTCAAGTCAGGCTCACCTGCCATGAGTGGGCCCATGTAATTTTTAAGATGACTTAGAATATGAAGAAAAGAATATGATACTAAAATTTTAAGTGTGTTTCTTCAAGGGCATTTCAAGATCAGGTATTGGAAGATTTAGGAAAATTGAAAATATCTACAGTAAAATGTCATCACTTTGGAACAAATATGGAAAGAATGATTTGAATCTGTGTAAAATCCACATTCTTTTTAAAGTAGTTTTATTTTCAAGTATATAATCAAGTCATAAATTGTATGTGTAACAATGTTGTTGACTCGCAGAGAGGTTATTTTTGTCCTTTTTAATGAATAGATAAGGATTTACTTTTAAGTAATTAAGGCATTTAATTATTGATCACCTTAGTAGTTGCGCAAGTATTTTGTTGGATGGCTACTAATGGATATTCATAAAACACTTAGAAAGCATTTCTAGTTTTCATAAGTAGATTTATCTCAGGTGATCTGAATATACCATTTCTTAGCAAATAAAAAAAAGAATAAAAAGATAAAAAATAAAATTTTAGAAAACTGAACTATAAGTTTATGTACAATCTAAATCTTCATTAATAGTATCTGAATTTAGAGAGACTTTCTCTGTAGTTTTGTGTTCTGATTCTTTTGATTGTTATCATGTTGGTGGTGGTTTAGTTGCTAAATCATATCTGATTCTTGCAACCCCACGGACTGTAGCCTGCCAGGTTTCTCTGTCCATGGGATTTTCCAGGCAAGAATATTGGAGTGGGTTGCCATTTCCTTCTCCATTGATTGTTATGGATACTGCTAAAAAAAATTAGGCCAAGAAAAATATTCCTGTTGTGTTTTTTTCACCAAACTGTTAAAAATGTATGATGGATCCAAAATCCTTAACTGTTGATATCAAGCAATGTATAAATTCCATTTTTTGCTGTTCTATAGGCTAGATGAAGATTAAACATGTCATAATAGTTTTTTGAATGCCCAGTGAAGAATCTGAGTATTCCTGTGTATCCACAGTTTCTGCATCCTGAGATTCAACCAACCATGGATCAAAAATAATTTAGAAAAAAAAATTTCCAGAAAATTTCAAAAACCAAAACTTGAATTTACCGTGTGCCAGCAGCTGTTTATTTGCATAGTTTTCATATTGTATTTATGACTAGATTTATTAGGTACTATAAGTAATCTAGTAATGATATAATGTATATGGGAGGGTGTACGAGATTACCTGCAAATACTCCACCATGTTATAGAAGAGATTTGAGCATCCTTCGGTTTTGGTATCTGTGTGGGTCCTGGAACCAATACCCCACGGAACTGTGATGTGTTTTTAATATGTGGGCACTAAGTATTCTATAAAATATTTACTTGCATTTTATTGTAGTTACTTACAGCTTTTACCCAAGTTAGCTTCTATTCCAAGAAAGTAGATATAAAAATAGAAGTTAGCAGTCAAGTAGAAATTGAAATGTGAGATTTGGGTGTTTTTTTGTCTTTTACAACATTAAGGAAAATTAAAAACTTTTTATTTTAGTAAAAAGTCCCAGAAGTGGGATGAAATGAACATCCTAGCGACCTATCATCCAGCAGACAAAGACTACGGTTTAATGAAGATAGACGAGCCTAGCACTCCTTACCACAGGTAGTGTTTGTGCACAGCATTACTTTTCTCAGTTGGTTTTTTTTTTATACTTGTTACTGGAACACTAATTAATAACCCATCTGCCTATTTTTGTGTAATAGTATAAATAACATGGAACTTTATGAAATCCATTTTTTACGTTACACTTATAGTATTAGATGTATATTTATTGCACCTCAGTCATCCTTAGCTGCTAAGTGACTTCTGCCTTCCTTAAAGTAATCTATTTGTAAAAAGGAAGACGAGAGTTAGGCTTGTTTGCTTCTTCTTAAGTAGATAGCTTATTCATTCTCTTTGCAGAAAAGGGATAATTTCACAGATGGTTAACTCTTTTTTAACCCATGCAAAAAGAAGTGGACATTACCTGCTATCTCGTGTCCTTATTTTTTAACTAAATGATATTGTAGTTCATGTAATTGCATTGAAATTGTTAGTTTTGAGTCTTCCAGAATTTTTTTTAATGAATTTTAAAATGATAGTGTGTGGCTGTAGTAAGTATGAAGACTAATGCACCAGTAAACATAATGGGTTTCTAAACAAGTTAGAAAATACCTAATTCAGATCATGCCTAGATTGTATAGAAAAAAGATTTTCAGGACTGAAATATTTATGTTTGTCACTGAAGTGAGACGACAGAAATCCAGAAGTTACTATTAAAACAGACTTAGAGGGACTTCCCTGGTGGTCCAGTGGCTAAGACTCTGCACTCCTAATGCAGGGGGCCCAGGTTTGATCCCTAGTCAGGCAACTAGATCTCACATGCCACAACTTAGACCTGGTGCAGCCAAATAAATAAATAGATAAATAGATAGATAAATTTTTTTTAATAAGAGTTAAATTCTGTTTTAAATCAATGGATGAAACTTTGGAAGATAAATTGAAATAACTTGATGATAGCAAAAACAGTACAAACAAGAATAAACATGAAGATTGTGACAAAGGGAGGACATAATGAAATAGGAGTACAGATACTGAAACAATAAATCTTGAGGGAAGAAATAGACATATCATTTATGAAAGTGATCCTCCTCATTTGCTCCTAATTACAGATGTATACTTTAAAACATATCTTAAGAGTTTCATTGTACCAGAATCCAAAGTTGGTGCTTTCTTCCTTTTCAGTGAAGGTAGGGATGTCTATCCCTTATCTGTGTTGCTTGGAGATGCATATCCTAAAAAAATTAAAATCAAACATGATTCCAAAAAAAAATCAGCTTGTAGCCATTATTTTAAAACTGTTTATATTTAAATAATAAAGATAACCATTTTTTTGCTATTAAGTGGAGTGCGAATTTTTCATTAGAAAGTAGATTGGGAAAGCTAAATAACTTTTTAACTTACTAGGTCTTAGGATCTAATTTTGTTATTTTACTTAACCTGTATCTGCATAGATCATTTGTGTCTTATCTTCAGTGAAAAGAAAAGTGTTAGTTGCTCAGTCATGTCTGACTCTTTACAACACGTGAACTGTAGCCCACCAGGCTCCTTTGTCCCTGGAATTCTCCAGGCAAGAATACTGAAGTGGGTAGCCATTTCTTTCTCCAGGGGATCTTCCTGACCCAGGGACTGAACCTGGGTCTCCATTGCAGGCAGATTCTTTACTGTCTGAGCCACCAGGGAAGCCAGGTTGGTGTACAGAACATATTCTGAAACCAGATGGGATTTCGTTTGCATTAATTGTTCCCTCCTACTGTATAGAATAATTGAAGTGTTGGTTTCTTTTTTTTCCAGATGATTTGAGTTTTCAATATTTATTTTCATGATTGCAGTAGTTTTTGTTTTTTTTTAATTATTTGTAGGCTTTTCTTGATGGGTACTATACTTTTTAAGTATTTGCATTGAATAGAAACAATTTAAAATTATACTTCAAAGATGACAACAGAGCCATAAATATATTGATACTCTGGTCAGTAGAATTATGTTCTCTACCTTGTCTTCCTGCTTGAAAAATTATAGTTCAGGTATTAATTTATAATGTGTTTGTCATCTTAGTATGGTAGCTGATGATGAAGATGCATTGAGTGATTCAGAAACCACTGAAGCCCTGACCCCAGATATCTTAGCTCGGAAGTAAGTATTGATAACTATAAAGCATTTTCCACAACTATAAAGCTGTGTTTAATTTTGCAGAGTTAAAGACATTTTACTTTACTTGTACAGGTGTAAATAAAAAGCATGTGCTAAATGAAGTAAGTTTATCTGGATTGTTCATAGCAACCTGTATAGTCTTATTTCTAGGTTAAAATCAAAGTGTGTAGATGAGTACCAGAAGCTGGTACACAGATTCCCTGTTGTTGACTTCCTGCATAGAAGTTCTTTGTTGTGTATTTTTTTTAATATCCTGCCACCTGGGTATTAAAGATACAAGTGAGACAGGTGAAAATAAGTTGAATTCCTAAAAAAGTTCTATTTCTTTGCTGTTCATAGATTTGTCTCCACTCTTCTTCTTTATTGTCTTCTATACCCATTACCATTCTCTGGCTTCCCCCCCCCCCCCCCCATCAGGTTGTGGCTAGCATACTAATGTTCTTTAGATGTTTTTATGAGGCTCAAAAGTTGAATAAGACACTCAACTAATATAAGGCAGTCATAATGTTGGTTTCTTTGTAAATTATTATTATATAGATTAACTGCTGCTGCTGCTGAAAGCTTGGAACCAAAATATCGAGTTCGTGAACAAGAAAGCAGTGGAGATGAGGATAGTGAACTCTCACCTGAAGAACGAGGTAGTTCATTTAACTCAGATTCTACTCATGTAGGTTTATTATATATCAGCTTTGTCCCCCCTCATTTCAAGAAAATATTGCCATCTCTGAAGTGACTACAAGTGTTCCTTTCTTTGTACTAAGCATCTATACTAGGTAGATGCTCTGCTGCTGCTGCTAAGTCGCTTCAGTCGTGTCCGACTCTGTGCGACCCCATAGACGGCAGCCCACCAGGCTCCCCTGTCCCTGGGATTCTCCAGGCAAGAACACTGGAGTGGGTCGCCATTTCCTTCTCCAATGCATGAAAGTGAAAAGTGAAAGTGAAGTTGCTCAGTCGTGTCCGACTCTTAGTGACCCCATGGACTGCAGCCACCAGGCTCCTCCTTCCATGGGATTTTCCAGGCAAGAGTACTGGAGTGGGTTCCCATTGCCTTCTCTGAGGTAGATGCTGATGCTCAGTGAATGTTTATTAAATTAATGCATTTAGAATCATTGAGTGTTTGTATAATCTTAAAGTGGGTGACAGTAAGAGCTAATTGCTTATAGTTTTTTCTGTATTAAGACAGTGGTTAAAAAAAAAAAGACAGTGGTTAAGTTTATCAGATGAATCAAAATTGGAGTAAAGATTTTTTATTAGGTCCCATTCAACAAAAAGAACAGTAGTGTCATAAGAAAGGAGATAAAAATAGTCCTGTCAACAATGATGTAAAAGGCTTTTTTAGTCCATACGGTGCATACACAGTTAGCATTTCTACCTATTCATGTTCCTGTTTTTAAAAGTATTAGTGCTTATCTGTGGAGGTAAGGAAGGAAGAAAGATGTTTCACTTTGTTGCTCTTTGTAATTTTGAAGCATGTGAACATATCACCTCAAGAATTAAAAATTGCATATATAATTTGTTTTTGATTATTCTTAAAGGGAAAACCAAGCCTATGTATAGGGTGAAAGGATGCATGAAAGAAAAAAACCCTTTAAAAAGAGATTATTAATTGAAGCCTTGAAATGTGGAAACTATCTGTATTGTAAAGAGGTTTAGAAACGCTAGAATTAAGATTGCAAATATTTGCTAGTTAGCTGTCAGGATCTTTTGTCGTGTAGCTACAAAGGTAAAATTAGCTATTCCCTCCTATCATGTTTAGAATGTAGTTTATTGAACTAAACAATCTGAGCCAAAAAAATTAAAAACAAACAGCAACAGTCTGAGCCTAATTGCTATACAAGAGAGAAATTTTATATACAGCATAATCTCAGGTTGTATTATATTATGATACTATATCTTCTGCCCTTGGTGACTTCCTGTTTTCTGAAAATATACCCCATGAGGCCCTTGAAAAGAGTTTTCAGATAGAAATTGTTCCTTGAGCTTGTTAATTCCTTATTCTCTGAAAACATCATCTATTGAGAACCAAATTTTTTTTATTACTTCTATTACCAGTTTTCATTAAGGAATTTTCCCCTCAAATTGTAGTTCCATGAGTTAACCAGCAGGGGGAACCATTTTACTAGTTACAGTTTTCACAAGTTTTTCAAGTTCCCAGGAGTAGAATTACTGATACACATGTTTTTAATGCTTTTAAACAAATTATGTGTCTGAACATCCTTGTTCATTGAAAACAGTCTTAGAGGATTTTATCTTGTAACTAGTTGCATAACAATTAAAATATTGGCTATGGAATCAGATAAATCAAAGTTTATACTCCAGATATGTCACTTATCTAATTTGCTTAATTTCTCTGATCCTCTGAAATGATCCTCATTTCTAAATTGGAGGCTTTAAAATATTTAGATTCATTAAATGAAATAAAGAATTTAAAGTACTTAGCACTGATTCTGACATATTGTTAGTACACAGGAAATACTTTTAATAACTTAAAATAATTGGTATATTCTGCATTATATTTTGGAAAACAATAAAGGAAAGTATAAAAAGGATAATTTACTTGTCAGGTTCAGTGGATAGTTGATTAGCATTATAGGCAGGCCTGAAACCTTAAAATTTTTGTTTTGTACTCTCTTGTATTATGTTGCTCTGCTGTACAAAGATTATAAGTGAAATTAATATTCAAAGAAGGTTGAGACCACTTGTGTTAGCAGCTTTCTATAGAATGAATACATAAATCATACAAATTTTGAGTATTCCAAAAGGAAAACTATATCTCTAACAAGCAAAACCCCAGTTTAATATCTCTTAGAATTATGCATAGTTGACCCTTGAACAACATGGGTTTGAACTGTGCAGGTCCAATTATACAGCACTAGACATTCTTGTTGAATGCACAGATGCAAAACTGCAGATATGAAGGGACAGCTGTAAGGTTAAATGTGGATTTCAACTGTGCGGAGAGTAGGTGCTCCTAACCCCCACAGTTTTCAAGGGTTACCTGTATATTACATCATAAAAAGCAATGAAAATACAAAGGGGGAAATCAGAAACCTTTGACCAAGCTAGGGGGTTAAGTTATAACTCAATAACCTTTTAAAATTATGCAGTAAATCTGCTATGTATGTGGCAGAATTTTACTGTATCTTCATATACTTTATTGTCTGAACTCTGGATCATTTTAAGAGTGAAAGGGTTACTATTATAGTTCCATTAGACAATAGGCATAAACTGAGCTTCCTGGGACGTAGCCATTCTAATTATATAGTGAGAAAACAACATACGCAACAAAATATGATTCAACTTTATAAAAAATACATTTTTAGAAAAAAGTCAGATTATAAAATGTTAGTGATTGTTTCATGAAATGGATGTGTTTTAAGATTGTACCATTTAAAAGAAATTTTTTTTTCCAAGTTACATTAAAGAGAATGTGTGTTGTTTTGTACTGAGAAAAAGCCTTACCTTTTTAGTAAATATATCTGGTATTGGAGGCAGTTAGAACTAATTTTTGTTGTTTTTTAGTATTGGCTTTTACATCATCTGAAAGTCATCACTAAAAATTTATTCATAAGGATTTGGTCTTTTATTAATTTTTTTTAAATTTTACTTCTAAAATATGATACTCTCAGAGAGTAAAATCAGAAAAGTAACTTAGAAAAAAAGAAAGATGCCTGGCAAGATCTTGGTAATTAGAAACAAATGTTTTTGGGATGATGATACAGATGTTGATCTCAGAATTTTCCTCTCCCAACCCAAATAGAGGCTGGAAAGTATTTGATCAGTAGTGACATGAACTGTAAATACCTATTTTTAAGACATAAGTAAGTGTAGATGATTAAAAACTTGGAGTGACTTGCCTGATGGTTCAGTGGTTAATACTCCATGCTTCCACTGTAGGAGTTGAAGGTTTGAGAGAGGGAATTAGAGGACATTTAGAAAGTACTTTGAATAGCGTTATTCTGAGAGATTTCTCTTATGCTTTTTTGGCATTAAAATATATTTATGAATATGGTAATAAACCTATGGTGAGTGAATTTTAATGCTCTTTACAAAATGAACAGTGGCAATTTTATGTCAATCCCTTTTTGTTTTTTAATTTACAGGTCTAAGAAATTCTAAAATATTTCTTGATAAACAGATCTTTAAAGTGCTGTCTATTGATAAAATATGGTTGGTCATGTTGATTTACAGCTATTTTTATGTTTCTGTGATGACTTCATGGATAATAAGCATTTTTAAAAGGAAATTTTTCTTAATTGTAAAAATAGAAAATTTGAGAATACTAAAATCACCCCATAATTCCTTGATCCAGAATTAATGACTGTTAATTGCCGAGTCTTATTTTGTATGTGTGTGTATGCACATGTGCATGCATGCAGGCTTTATACATGGTATGTATATGGTATTATAGTTTTCCTTTATCCCGTTCAACTCTGCCTGGAGAATTTTCCTGTATCTTTACGTTTCCTTACAAATATAACTACTAATAGCTCTTAGTCTCCCATTAAGATGGACATGAACCATCTAAGGCAGAGGTTGGTAAACTTTTTCTGTAAAGAGCCAGGCAGTAAGTATTTCAGATTTTGAGGGCCATATGGTCTCTAGTGCAGCTGCTCAACTCTGCTACTGAGTACAAAAGTATGTTTAAGCATTACAAAAACAAATGAGTGTGACTGTGTTCCAGTAATGTCCGTACTTTACTTACCAAATAGACACAGGCTGTAGTTTGCCAGTCTTGGAGCTAAAGACTTCCTATGCCTACTCTTTTTTTTTAACTTGTAGAAAAAAGGCGACAGTTTGAAATGAAAAGGAAGCTTCACTACAATGAAGGACTGAATATTAAGTTAGCTAGACAATTAATCTCAAAAGACCTAAATGATGAGGAGGAGGATGAAGAAATGTCAGAGACTGCAGCTGGAGAAACCATGAATATGGAAGAATCAAGTCAAGGTTAGATGTTTTGAAAATATCACTGAGACACTTGTGATCTTTTGTGCCTAAGTAATTTATTTTGCTTGAAGAACCTCAGAAAATTTTGCTACAATTCACTTTTTATGCCAAAAGCTTAGAATTAACTTCAACTCCTATGGGCCAGTTTGAAAATTATGTGTTTATACTCAAGTTGTCTTAAGAACATAGGTTGTGCTATATGTCTGTATTGTTTGGTCTACTGGCTTTAAGCAGTGATGTCTGTCTTCATAGTAAGATATACTTTATTTTTAATGTTTTGGATCATATTTTATTTGTTATAACAAAGTCAGTTAAAATTTAAACTTTTTAAAGAAACAGGTTTTTAACATGGAAGATACGTTTTGACATCCCTTCAGGTGTAAAGTATGTCATATCCTTCCAGTATTGACTCTTGACTGTTGGGTTGACAAGTTGTTGGCCAGTTTTTTGTTTGTTTTGTTTTTACATCTCAAACAACCTGCCCCTGCAGCCTACCAACACTTGATCAATCAAAGGAAATCTGTTTTATTTTTAATAAACTTATTCTGGTATTCAACAAAGGTGAATCTTTTGTACCATTAATGCAGATTTTGTGCCCACCTGCCTACTCTGTAATGCAGACTGGTACTTTTGAGTGAAGATGTAGCTTGCTTTTATGTGTTGTGCCTTAGATGGTTAAGTCTTAGGAAAGTAAATCATTACTATATTATGGTGTTGGTGAGCATATATGAAATGTAAGTGATTTCTATGAAAGAACCCGATGGCTGTGTCTCATTATAACATCTAGATTACAGTATTTTTTGGTCCATGTTAATGCTTTTGCTTTTCAGTTTGTTTCCTTTCGATTAGCACTTCCTTTTGATTTTATTCACCATATTCTGTTTAGCTTGTATTTAACGTGAACAAACTATCTGGAGTGATTATTGCTATATGTCTCTCTTTTCTTTTTAAATTTATTATCTATTTTTAGATGTCCTATCTGTGTATCTTGGTGATTTCTTTTGTTGTATTCAGCATAAATATTTCTTTGGTTATAACTTTTCATCAGTTTCTACTCCCAACTTTCAATATCCATTTTGTAGCAGCTCTAACAGAGCACTGGGAATACCCCTCATTTGCTATTGGAAATTTGTGCTGGCACTTTTGTGCCAAAGGGATTTCTTTTTTAAGCCACACCTTTTGAAAAATAACCTTGGCCTTTGTCTGTGGTATATTTAGACTCTGAGGGAATATTTTGCCATTTTTATATCATAAATGCAAATCTTTTATAACTTTGAATATTTGAGTTGTAATAAAGTCTTAGCTTTTCATTTGTGACTTACTCAAAGAAGTGTTCAATGTGAGACCTGTTTGTCCTACCACTAAGTAGATATACCTATTCTGTTCTTTAGACTATTACAGGGTATACAGATTCTTTGCTATTCAGTCTGCATGAACTATGTCTTACTTGTTTTTTAGATTTTTTTTCTATTCATTTATCATCTGTAGCAGTGGAAGGGAACTTTAGCTCAGGTGGTTCCAAGTTTGGCAATAGTCAACAAACAAATTGATGTTGCTGTTTTTTCTTATTATCATTACAGGATCTGCTACAAGTGACCAACTGCAAAACAAATCACAGAGTTCATAGAAGAGATTTTTTTCAACACAGTAATTGTCAAATACAAACTCTGTTACTATAATATACTGCTTGTTCTCTACAATTCATGACTTAAGTACCAAAATACATACCAGTTATTATATATTGCCAAGAATTAAATAACTTAAGAGACTAATTAGACTGAAAATGCCTAATTGATACATATATTCTTGTGCCTAGTACTTCACCACAAATACAGCATAATGTCATTCAAAACTACGTTACTTTTGTAAGAACACTGGTTAATTTGTATAAGATATATAGCTTTTTATGCTTTAGAAATTAATATCTTTTGGGGAGGGAGAGGGGATCTAATTTATTTTCTTCACTTCTAGTTGTGACAGCTCTTTTAAAAGGTTGGGTTTTTAAAAAATCAAAATCCAGTTAGAACAGCAGATCATATAGGCTGATAAATATATTCAGTCTGAAGAGTATTTTAACATGTGTCTTCAACTTGTCTGTTTAATTTAAAAGGATTATGTTATGAGTTACTGTTGCATTTTCTGGCATACTACCTTTAAAATTCCTGTTGAGTTTCTTTTATGTTTACAAGGAAAGGATCTCATCAAAACTAGTTTTTTTCCATAAATAAATTGTCAGGTTAAATTTGCACTAACGTCTGCTCTGACTTTTTTTGTACACTCCATGGGCAGACTTCAGATCAGTCTTTCAATAAATATAATTCTAATATAGTTTCAGCATTCCCTTTATATACCTGTGTTAAACTCCTGCCTTTGTCTCTTATTCCTTTCCACACATACACACAGAATCATTTACCTTTACAAAGGATCATAAAGATTGTCATGACATTGGAAGCTTTTCCTTTTCTCACTTACTCTGTCATTTGCTGCAACAATGAAAATCTTACTTTGACTATTAATGCCTATTCATTCTTCTAATACATGGAGAAAATGAATTGCATCAGTACTAGACAGGATATACAATTCAGCTGCAGAATTTTCTACATGTCTCTGACTTCAGCTTGCTAATTAAAGTGCTATTATTAGTTTATTGTTTGACTTAATTAGACCTTAGAAAACAACTGAGGTTTTTTTGCATGATGAGAGAATTGTGTGTAACCAGTGATATGATGATAGTTCCTGAATGTATAAACAGAATTCTGAACACTTTTTAATTTAAAAGCTTAAAATAGTTCCTGCTTTAAGGGAATATGATAATGTATACTATGACAAATGTTCTTTATTCTTCTAACACAATAAGATTTGAACTTTTTCCCCCTAAAATGAAGTGCAGTTCCTGTGTATCTTAGCTTACATTTCTAGTCAATTATTTGTATTTTAATTTTTTGTTAGTACTGAAAGAATCCATTATATGAACAGACTTTTTAAGTAATTTCTGTATATTGTATATTTGAATTGGCTTTTATTGAGCAGCTTATCTTCCACTTGCAAGGTTATGGAAATATCAAATGTCAAAATAAGTAAAAAGTCGGAGAACTATATACTGTTAGAAGAATGTTTTTATTAGTTTGGATGTCTTCTTTTTTAATGGAATCTAATCAGTACTTCTGAACTGCACATATAGTGTTCTAACTAAAACATATAAGCTAGTAGTACCACTGATTTAGGGATAAACTCAACAGTGTTTATCCCTGCTTTCTGAATTTAAAATATTGAGGTATTCTTACCTGTTTAAAGTTGTCTGGGGGTATTTAAGCTTATATATATATGTGTACATATGTTCATACACATAGATCTCTGTTTTTGGTTTTCTCATTTCAAGTTCTTAGGAAGTATTCACGTGCTCTTTATTTGTAGAAATAGCTGCTATACAGTGAAGAACAGGTAGGAACTTTAACAACTGATCCTTTTGGTGTTTTCTACAAATTATTTCTTGAAACTTCAGTCACAGGCAAACTTGTATTTCTGGTTTCCGGAAATAGTTATCTCAGAGGAATAAGACATGGCAAATAGCATGCTCAGTAGAATTTTAGGTAATCAAATGTGACTGAGTAAAATTGTTATCATTGTCATGAGTTCCTAATTGACGTAGTATTGAACTATACAAAAAATGAACCTTTATGACTCAAGTTATATTTTCCTTTGGAGAAAGTTATCTGTCAGTGTTCAGTTGTAGCCAAAGTAGATTTTACTTTCAGTTTTTTAATCAGTTCTCTTATCTGCTTAACTCTTGATGTCATCTTTTCTGTGTATTCATTTTTCAGTCTGAAATTCAGCAGTGATGCTCTTTAAAAACTGAGACATAAAATGGTATAAATGGATTGTTAAAAATAACTCAAATTGAAGATTAAAGCAAAGTGCCATTTTTCCCTAGACTTTCATTTTGTTTACATTTTTTCCTCTTAACATTAGTACACTGAACATATTGTAATAAAATATGGTCATATGACAATTGCTTGTGTTTGGATTTTATTTTCTTGCTACCCAGGTCTCAAGTTCTATTACCAAGTGTTGTGGATACCAGAAGAGGGTCTTGGACTGCACTGTGATAATTTGTTTAGTTGCCCAGCGTTGTGCTTGGTGTCTTAAGGTATAATCCTCAAAACAACCATGCAGAACAGATATCTTACTAAGTGAGGAAAATATTCATGGCCAAATTCTTCGGTTTCCATGTTTCATACATGCCAAATGACAGGATGTAACTAAACTTCATACTTGATATTCATGCCTTTTTAGGTGTAGAAATTCCCTCATTTTTGAAGTTGTACCTTATAAGTAAACTTCATTTGGATTATTAATACACATTGTGTGCTTTAGGAGTAACATTTTTCAACTGTTTAGTTTGAGTTTTTATATTACTTTAATCTGAAGAAATTTGGAAGTTTTATTTGAGGTTTACTCACCATTTCAGAAAAATCTTAAAAGCACAATTATACTGTGGCAGGAGATGTGTAAATGCATGTGATTAGGTTGTGTTCCACAAGTTTGTTTCTAAACAGGATGCTTCAAACACAAAGCATGATTTTTTTTTCATAGACTCTGTGTTACAAAGGAAGTACCAAGCTAGCCTGTATAAATGCATGCCTAAGCCAGCATTTCTTGGTGTGTGCCATGAAACTCTCAGTCCTACAACATGTTTCATGAAAAGGATTCTGTGAGCAAATATGCTTTGTACTTGCTGTAGGCTTTATTCCCTTACCCCCCAGATTTATAATAATGCCCATCATCATATTAAAAGAGTGAGACAATGCTGCTTAAGGAACCTGTTTAAAATTTGATTTAACTTAGTGTTTTTTTTTTTTTTTAAGCTTAGTGTTTTTCAAAAACTCTTCACAACACACCAAATTCCTTTGTCCCTCAAGCAGCATCCCGGATAGGAGTAAAGAAATCAGCTGCTGCTGTTAAGTTGCTTATAGACGGCTGCCCACCCGTCCCTGGGATTCTCCAGGCAGCAACACTGGAGTGGGTTGCCATTTCCTTCTCCAACGCATGAAAGTGAAAAGTGAAAGTGAAGTCGCTCAGTTGTGTCCAACTCTTAGCAACCCCATGGACTGCAGCCTACCAGGCTCTGTCCATGGGATATTCCAGGCAAGAGTGCTGGAGTGGGGTGCCATTGCCTTCTCCCAAAGAAATCAGCTAGGGCCTCTTAATACATTAAAAGTGAACTTCTTAAAAGAGACCAGTGTATCATTAATGGAAGACATGATAGCAATAACTGCACATTATGGATTGTATATAATTTGCTAGGCGTAAGACTTAATTTTTAGTAAGTTGTGCAAGAAACTATATATGTCCAGGACCGATGAGGGTGTGGTTGATGTGGTTGGTTATAAGCTGTTACAGTTTAGTATTGATACGACTGTTGCTCAAAGACTTGCTGCTTTAAGCAAATTTCCTAAATGCCTTGTCCTCCCCATCATGTCACATAACTGGTTGACAGGAGCACATCTGCTACTCACTGGAAAAATAAAAGCAAATAGCAAGTGTGTCTGGTCTGTGGCTCACACCCCTAAGCCTTGGTTAGCTGCCCTGGTGTTTAGGGGGAGAGGTGTTAGGGGCTTTTGGCTCCTACACTTCAAATTTGGGGTTGACTCATCTAGTTTTTTATTTGAGGAATTATTTGGGGGAGGTAATGCTGAGAAAGGAGGCAAGTGAGGGTGGATTTGGCAAGTGTTTAGTCATGATTTTATCTCAACTGCCCAACCTGAAATTTTTAGTAAGTCTGCCAAGTGAGTGTTTTGCATTTCAGTTCTATTACCAATGGAAATTATTGGAATTTGAAGAAGATTATACATTTTTTGTTCTTTGTTTGATTCCTTTGGATTGATGACTGTTGACTAGAAATAGAAGAGGATTGTACAGGCTGATCTTTGGTATCTTAACATCATTTGACCTCACTTTTTAGGCAAGGGATTATAAGCAACTTGGCTGTATGCCTTGATCTAATAAATGATTCAACCTGAAAAAGTATTAATGAGTAATAGACCCTACAACCATAGGAATGAGAAGGTTTATATACTTGTTCAGTTACACACCCTGGTATTGGGAGCATCTCTTACATAAGTTAAAAGATACTTTCATCTTCCTTTGTAAAAGAGATGCCCATGTGAAAAATACTCAAGCACTTTTATTGTAGGGCATCATGCCAAGCTAATTGGGAAGTATGGACATAAGATTTGCCCTGCCTTTAAATATATTAAAAGTTACACATATTTACGGAGCAGAGAGCGCACTTTGGGGGAACAAGGAAGGAATAAGCTACACACTTACCTAATTCTGAGGAGGCCTTTCTTGTAGAGAAGCTTAGGCTAATTATAATTAGCACGACCTTTTTATATGGCAGATTCTTATGCAACTTACTTGAAAGTAAAATTTCTTTAGTGACCTGTAACAAAACTGTTACTAAGCAAGATAGACACCACAGAAATCAACAATATTAAATGACTTTTTTTTTTTAGCAGAACTCAATCCAAAATGTTGAATTGCAGAAGTTGAAGCAGATTTATGAATTGTTGCAAATTAAGCTTCTGCTGCCATTTTATTTTTTCCTAAGTCTAATTGGGGGAAAGGAGGTGGGTTGGGAGGGTCTGGGTCAAGACCACAATTAACAGGAGCCCCACTGTAGTTTGAAACTATCAGGAAATGTGCTCTGGTCCAGTGCTGACTTTGAAAAGCAGTCCGTCCTTCCTCAAGTGGGAGCATCTTGAGTTGGTGTTTTGTTTTGTTTTTTTTCTTTGATAAATCACAATTAAATTTTTAAAACCAGCCATGGGAGTGGTGGGGTAGTGGGAAGCTGGCCAGACTGCAAAATGAATTGGACCCAGATTAGTATACTTTTAAGTTTCAAACACTGTTCCGAAGACCTAGACTAGAGACATCTGAAGTTTTACAATCTGAATGAGGACATACTGATAAACGTAAAGTTAAGGAGAAAGCTTTATTTTTGAGAAGATCATTAAATATGTATGAAGCACCATTACCCAGGTAATGTACATAAAAAAGTAAATAGAAGATGCTTCTTAGAGAAAAAAGTATGCAATTACTGTGGCCAAGATCAAAAGATAACAGAGATGGATGAAACTGGAGCCCACTATACAGAGCGAAGTAAGCCAGAAAGATAAAGACCATTACAGTATACTAACACATATATATGGAATTTAGAAAGATGGTACCGATAACCCTATATGCAAAACAGAAAAAGAGACTCCAATGTATAGAACAGACTTGTGGACTCTGGGAGAAGGCGAGGGTGGGATGTTTCAAGAGAACAGCATCGAAACACGTATATTATATAGGGTGAAACAGATCACCAGCCCAGGTTGGGTGCATGAGACAAGTGCTCGGGCCTGGTGCACTGGGAAGACCCAGAGGGATCGGGTGGAGAGGGAGGTGGGAGGGGGGACCGGGATGGGGAATACATGTAAATCCATGGCTAATTCATTTCACTGTATGACAAAAACCACTGCAATGATGTAAAGTAATTAGCCTCCAACTAATAAAAATAAATGAAAAAAAAAAATTTTCATATGGTTTAAATGTCTTAGAGACAACTGAAAAAGGACTGAGATTTGAAATGTGGTTAGTGTGACTGAGGAATTGAATGTTAAATCTTATTTAATTATAATTAACAATTTTGAATAGCTGTATGTTCTCATGAGAAACATATTGCACAGTGCACCTCTTTATGATTTTAACCTTTTGAAGTTTGTGAAGACTTGCTTTATGGCTCATAATACAGCCAATTTAAAAAAGTTAAGTATTTTTCAGTTGTTAAGTATGATATTTTGTGTTTATTTCAATCAGGTCAGATTGTTCTATAGCCTTACTTTAAAAAAAAAAAAAAAGATAACAGAGGGTTCAGATGTCTATTGCTTACAAATGATGTCTCACATATATCAAATATACATCTAAAGCTGAGCTCTTCATCTTTCCTTTATTAATTTCTCTGTCCCCTCCACATTCTCCCCCAAATAACTTAGCACCCAATTATTTCTCAACTTTTGACTCCTTTCATTCTCTCAAATAGGCGAAACCATCCATTAGTATACCCTTTGACTCTACCTCTATTATATATGTAGACTTCCCTGGTGGTGCTAGTGGTAAAAAATCTGCCTGCCAATGCAGGAAACTTAAGAGACTCGGGTTCGATTCCTGAGTGGGGAAGATACCTTGGAGGAGGGCATGGCAACCCACGCCAGTATTCTTGCCTGGAGAATCCCATGAACAGAGGAGCCTAGCGGGCTGTAGTCCATAGAGTCGCAAAGAGTCAGATATGACTGAAGCGACCTAGCACACACATACTTGTGGTAGATCCGTAGCATCCTTTATTCAGGGACTTATTTAGCTCCATTACTTAAACATTATTACTCTTCTTCCCTGGTGGCTCAGTTGGTACAGAATCAGACTGCAAAGAAGGAGACCCAGGTTCGACCCATGGGTTTGGAAGATCTGGAGGAGGAAATGACAACCCATGCCAGTGTCTTGCCTAGGATAATCCCATAGACAGAGGAACCTGGGGGGCTATAGTCCATGGGGTCGCAAGGGTAGGACATGACTTAGCGACTGAACCACCACCACTATTCAGTTCAGTTCAGTCGCTCAGTTGTGTTCAATTCTTTGCAACCCAATGGACTGCAGCACACCAGGCCTCCCTGTCCCATCACCAACTCCAGGAGTTTACTCAAACTCACGTCCACTGAATCGATGATGCCATCCAACCATCTCATCCTCTGTCATCCCCTTCTCCTGCCTTCAATCTTTCCCAGCATCAGGGTCTTTTCCATTGTGTCAGTTCTTCACATCAGGTGGCCAAAGTATTGGAGTTTCAGCTTCAACATCAGTCCTTCCAATGAATATTCAGGGTTGATTTCCTTTAGGATGGACTGGTTAGATCTTGTTGTCCAAGGGACTCTCAAGAGTCTTCTCAACCACAGTTCAAAAGCATCAGTTCTTCAGCACTCAGCTTTCTTTATAGTCCAACTCTCACAGCCATACATGACCACTAGAAAAACCATAGCCTTGACTAGGCAGACCTTTGTTGGCAAAGTAATGTCTCTGCTTTTTAATATGCTGTCTAGGTTAGTCATAACTTTTCTTCCAAGGAGCAAGCATCTTTTAGTTTCATGGCTTCAGTCACCATCTGCAGTGATTTTGGAGCCCCCAAAAATAAGGTCTGTCACTGTTTCCACTGTTTCCCCATCTATTTGCCATGAAATGATGGGACCAGATGCCATGATCTTAGTTTTCTGAATGTTGTTTTATGCCATTTTTTTCACTCTCCTCTTTTACTTTCATCAACAGGCTTTTTAGTTCTTTGCTTTCTGCCATAAGGGTGGTGTCATCTGCATATCTGAGGTTATTGATATTTCTCCCAGCAATCTTGATTCCAGCTTGTGCTTCATCCAGCCCAATGTTTCTCTTGATGTACTCTCATATAAGTTAAATAAGGAGGGTGACAACATACAGCCTTGACATACTCCTTTTCATATTTGGAGCCAGTCTGTTGTTCTATGTCCAGTTCTAACTGTTGCTTCCTGACCTGCATACAGATTTCTCCAGAAGCAGATCAGGTGGTGTGGTATTCCCATCTCTTTAAGAATTTTCCACAGTTTGTTGTGATCCACACAGTCAAAGGCTTTGGCATAGTCAATAAAGCAGAAGTAGATGTTTTTCTGGAACTCTTGCTTTTTCGACCACCACTATTATGTATCTTAAATCTCTCCCCTTCTCCAATCCCTACTGCAATATCATGGTCAAACCACCAGCAGACTTTGCCTGTACTTCTACCACAGCCTCCTAAGTAATTGATTTCCCACTTCCATTGTGTCCCTTTCAATCCATCTTCTATAACAGCAAGTGTTGCTGCGTTACTTAAAGCCCTTCAGTGATTCCTCGGCCATCCTTAAGAATGAGTCCATGTTTCTTAGAATGGGTTAACAAGACTGCATGGAAAGATCCCCAAATATCTCTTCAAATCTTTTTGTTTCACTCTCCTACTTAATTATTATAGTCGTACTTTTTTTTTTCAATTCCTCCAGTTCACTTAAGTTTTTCCCCTTTTCTAGTGCCTAGGCACTAGAAGATTACTCTGCCTGAAATGCTCTTCAATAATTATTCTTATGGCTTTTCTTCTCATTATTTAGGTTCAGACATAACCTATCCAGATGTGCCATTCCCTGACCATCATATTAAAAAAGATGTCTTTCCTATTGTTTTCAGACTCTTGTTTTCTTATCTGATTGGTTTGTTTTGTTGTTGCCTGACTCCCTTACTAAACAGAAAGCTGAAGGCAGGATCTCTTTTATGCTTATTACACAGTATTCTCAGAGATTAGTATAGGTCATCTCTATAGAAGCCTCAATGAATGTTGAATGAATAAAAGGAAGATAGTTTATAACGTGATTTAACTTTACCTTCCCGTTACTCTTTAGTGTCTTCATATACTTACTGTTTGAATATTAGAACTGGAAAAAATTTTAGAAATCAACTAGCCTAATAGCCTTGTTTTTTCAAAGAAGTCAACTAAAGCAAAGAGAAGGCAAGATTACCCAGCTGGTTTTTGGCATTTCAGTCTAGAATTTAGTTTCTCTGACCTATATTTTCACAAGAAATCTCACCTTGGATTGAACAACTGTGGCCCTGTCTAGCCTAGTGGTTGTATTTTTTTCACAGCGGAGGTAGTCAAGAATTAATTCATTATTCAGGATTACCTGAAAATGGGTTTATCCACCCAAGTAAAATTTCTCACAACTGAGTTACGCAAACTCTGACTTTTTGTTGTTATAATTAACATACAGTATTGTATTAGTTTTAGGTGTACAGCATAGTGATTCTATATTTTTATACATTATAATTACTGTAGTAAGACCAGTTACCATCTACCACCATGCAAAGTTGTTGTAATATTATCGACTCTCTGCCCTATATATACATCACTGTGACTCATTTATTTTATGGCTGGAGCTTTGTACCTATAAGCATGTTGGAAGTAAATCTTGCTGAAGAATGATGGATTTTCCAATATTCACATACCAAGGACCCCAGACATAATCTTTACTCAGTGACTCTGGTTTGTTCATATCAACATTGATTATTGTACTGTCTGAAATGCATCCTTGCCCTCAAGAGCACATTGAATGGATTTTTCCCAAGCCTTAACATGCTGTTCTTTTTCAGAAGTAAGGCATCTGGGGGTAGTTACCAGCTTCTTTCTGGATGTGGCCTTTGTGACCATTTTCTTTGATGCCAAGAGGCTTGTTTCATTGCCAGCTTCCTGTCTTTGTTTCTGGCTGTAATTGCCAAAAGCTCACACCACAGTAAACGGGTTATTACTGTAATGTAATACTCCTTGAACTCCCAGCCCTACCCATTTTAGGAAAGTCTTTAACACTTTGAAAAGATATCAATTGTTGTGTTATGTGGTCCAACCAGAACCATTTAATGAACTTAAATTGAATTTAAGAAGTTATAAATTTTGAGAACCAGGCTGAATACTTGGTTTTCTCTTCTGTACAAATTCCAGAAAATTATATATGCTGCTAAGATTCTCCTGAAGAATTAAAATGGAAGAGCAAACTTTACCTTATTCTTTTACCTGTTTTTCTCTATTAGTTATATAAATACAAGTAAAAATGTGATGACTTCTCAATTATTTTGAATGATGAAAAGATCACTTGCTGGATTTACACATAGTCGGAAGATACCAAGAAAAGATAGAAGTTTGGAACATATCTTGAATATTTCAGATATTGAATATTCAATTTCAATTGAATATGTGCATATATTGAATATTTTCAGATACTAAATATATTAGATAAATTAACACATTTAATCCTCAAAACAAGAGGACTAACAGTGCAAAGTCTTCATTCAATTTAGGGTCACCTAGATCATAGTGATCTTCGTGAGAACTGATTTCATTGGCCTTGTGAAGGTGGAAGCCACATTGCAGGGGGCTGAGGAATGTGTATATAAGGTGTGGAAAT